GCTGTTATGGATTCAGTGTTCAAGGAAGAAAAAATATTCAGAAACTTAGAAAAATCTTTGGGGTATTTCAGTCAAGCTGATCATCTTCATACCTAGTGCTAGAAATGATACTTTGGGTTAGTAATTTCCACGTTCTGTGTTTACAGGAACACTGAGTCACCGCAGTTTTTCCTCTTGTGGAGGTTTAAGCGGTGTCAGAAACGGCAACTCTACAGAGAGCCCTTGGGAATGTGAAAATAGTCTCTCTCAGAACAAGAGCTCTTCTGCCTCCATATGCAGCCTGAGCACCAGGGCAGAGATTGCTTTTGAAAGTTTGCCCCACGTAATCAATTTCCTGGGCACCTAAGAGAACAGCCCGTTTCTTTATGAAAACACAGAGAGGAGAAAGAGGCTGCCACGTCCCAGTCTGGAAGTTCTGTCCAGCCTCAGAAAGCCCGTGGTAGGGTCAGCTCAAGCCCTCTCTTCACACTGCAGATGGAGACGCACTGGGTCGCCTGGCTTTCTCTATGGAATTAGGGAGTCTATTGAAATTCTAGTGCACCCTTCCTTTTGTTTGTCACCAAGTCACATGGTTCTGTCTTTAGTGTCCTATTTTTCTTTTCTTTTTTTAATTTCTTTTTCTGGGGGACAAAATTGGCCATTTAAATAAAGTTCTTTTCTAGTGAGTAAAGAGGTTTCTCAGAGCCAGAAATCACTCAAAAGAAAGTCTGTCGACCCTACCCATGGAAAAGCCCAGAGATTTCTCTAAATACCCCTTGCCAAACTGCCTAGTTTCACGATTGGGTGTTTTCTGGTTTCGCATTGTTGGGTGCTGAATATATTTTGTGATCCTTTTGTTCTCTTCCCCAGGGCTTCCATGACCCTGGACTTCAACTCACTACTAAATTAAAGAATTCTTTCAGAAGGTTGCTTTTAAGAGTCAGGTCACAACAGAAAGGGCATCCTCTCGTTCTCCTAGATCCCGAGGGCATCTTGGCTTGTGTCTTACATGGCACCTTCGTCTTGTTTCTCTGTGCGGTAGCAGCACACCAGCTATAGCAGAGGCAGACCTGATTTGGTTATCTGATACCTTTCCTGCAGAATCACAACTAACTAAATAACATCTACAACCACAGAGGAAGGCTCCAGAAGGGCATCTCTAGTGTGAATCCTGGCCTATCTACCTCATTCCCCGCTTTCCTAGGGGCAAAGCTGTCGGGAGCATTATGGAGCAGCCACAACTAGGAAGCAGCATTGCCCTCTATTATGTTCTCTCTGGGGTCCGAGGGATTAAAATCTTCAGGGGCACACCTCATTTTCAATTTCTGCACTGAAGGAAAACACTGATTTGGGGCATGGGCTGGGCACATAACTGGTGGTATGCTTGTATGATGGAAGTACATGTAGGTCGAGGCATTAGGACTTATGTGAGACAAACACACCCAGCGGGAATCTCTTCTCTTTTCACATCAGAATGCACAAATTCTATCTGTTCGTGGGTTGAAAAGGGTTTTTCGGTCCTTATAGAATATTGGGATGATACAAAATAAAACCCCTACGACTTTTAAACAAAGCAAATCCAAGTCTTTCTTTCTAAGGCCAGGAGCCATGGTGACCTCCAAGATGCCCAGGAAGACGGAATGGACCACAGCTGGAACATGAGCCGGGAATTATCCACCACACGGACTCATGGCACAAACAGATGCAGAGCATTAGGAATTTAGAGAGGAAAAAGTCTATAAAACTGTTAGTAGGAGCTAAAGTTTAGAACTCAATTAAAATATATAGTAAAAAATATTTTGATATAGAGACTTTCATTTCAGATTTCTTTTTTCCTGGCTTGTTTCTCAATCTTGCCCCATGTGTAGATTTGTAGCAGATCCATGTGTTAATTCCTTCCTTTTTTAGGGCTATATTTTACACATTTGGGGGTTTTTTGGGTATAAACATTGGCATTTATTATATTAATAGGGGGAAAAACTGCCCACTATGCTGAGATGCTACCAATGTTTTTAGTGCTAGGGAATTTTATTTTTCAGAAATTGTTTCTAAATGTGTTGAGAAAAATATTCCCCTTTGACTTTTTTCCTTTCCCTTGTTCAGCTAACCCAGTTTTAAACCGTAAATTGCTAAAAAAAAAAATGTTCTTTTCCATACCAGTTCATGTACTCTGTACTCATTCTAAAAGGTCTTAAATCTGGAACACTGGCCTCCATTTTATCTATTTTTTTCCCCCTGGCTACTGAAAAAAATTTTGTTAGCACTCACAGCATCCTGGCACGAAGTTTTAAATGTAAGAAGATTGTTGGATTTGAAACTAAAAAATAAAAGGATCCATGCTCATCCTCTATCCTTGAAGCAAAATATGTTTCCTTATTTCCTAAGATGTTGGTGATTATTTAATTTAAAAGTAAGGATTGACAATCTAAAGGCATCTTTAGCCATTTAAAATAGGTACAGACTGGTTTATTTTCTAAAATGTAGGTGATTTTGGAAAGCAATCCTTTTAGAGACCAGAACATATAGTAATGGCCAAGTTTGTCACTCCCCAGATTAGATCTTCCACTCCAATCTAGCTTCTTCCTCTCTCCAGAGAACAATCTGTCAACCGTTTTAGACCATGAGATGTTTGGGAGGAACAGATATACAGTAAGAAAAAGTCTATGCTATGCAAACCTGGATAGTTCACGTTGTTATAATGATTATATCACCTCACCAAGAATTCTTTGGGAATCCTCCAACATTTTTAGAAAAGAGATACTTTATTTGAAGGGAACGGATAAGTATTAGGGTTTCAAACCCGACTGGAATTTTTTCCCCTACATGTTCTATAACAAAAGGTGGATTTGAACCCAATTGCTTAACTTTTTACGTGGCCAATCAGCCTTAAGGCAAATGGGTCTCCTTCAGATTTGAGAAGCAGATAGCTAAATGTGGCCTATAATGGCACCCAAGAACCACTTTTCTGGAGGTACTATAAATTCTGTCTACTTTGGTAAGGTTTGAATAAGGTCACTATTTTAAAACAGCTACTGTCAAATATTTAAAATATTTTAAAGTGGCTTTTGGCCTTCATTCGTTTGCAACATATGCTGAGTGATTTCATGTCATTTTCCTCTGGATTAAAAAAATCTTTTTCTTAATGTCAATTTTTTCTTTTTTATATCATGGGTTGAATGACTTGCTTTTCAAAATACCAAAACAATTCCATGACATGGTTAATTAACTAATGCTCCCTCTGTTGGTGGTAAGTGGAAATATTAGAGTCTCACAACATGGGTATTTTAAAAAGCAAAATTAGCGAGAGAAAAATGGACTTTTTCTTATTTCTAAAGCTGTTTCCCACTAACTTTTAAAACAGGTCAATTCTGGACACATAGTGCTTGGCAGGACTCCTCTTAGAAGTCACGATGGGCAATACTCAGGCAGTTAACCATCCAAGTCTACATTAAAATTTCTAGCAAAATATTTACTGAATTAAGGACCACAGGACCAAATCAAACGCACACATACTCCAATTGCGCTAACCCTACCAAACATCACCAAGAACTTATGGAAAAGACCCAAGTTAACCAATGTCTAAAATATATAAGTAAAACCAACGTAGTCATTATAGAGTTGCTGCCCTTGGAAGATTTCTCCTCACTTCTTGCAGTTTTTGTAAATAAGTTGCTGATAGGAAAATTAAATTAAAATGCAAAGTAATTTTGAAACTAAAATACTCTCTTTTTCTTTTAAACTGCAGTTTGGTGTTTCTGCTTTATTTAAAGATTTCCTTTTTCCCTTAAGTGCGCTAAAATCTGCCCAGCAATGAAATTACCTTTGGAGTTTTCGTTAGGTTTAAGAATTCCTATAGTTGAGTTGGAATCTCTTCAAGACACTGTCTATAATGGAAAAATCTCTATTACAATACTTTGATCAGGACCGAGGAGAGAAATCTCAACTAGGAAGAGAGAGTGGCATCTAGGATGATGCAATGGATTGGTGGTCTTTTGAATGATGGATGTTGGCATCTGGGAAATTTTTGTTAATTTCTGTAAAACCTTTCCAAAAAGCAAGGGTTAATAAATCATCTAAAGAACGATCATCTTATTTAGCCCTCTTGACCATGGTGGAAATAGTCAGAAGGCGATATTTGAAAGGAAGAAAATAATTTTGGCATCAAGGCATCCTGATCTTAACAGGCTTCTGGTAACGCTGTTCTCTGTTCTCGATAGTTGTGAAGGGTGAGGAGGCATGGCAGAGTTGTGTGAACTCCTCCCAGCTGACCACAAAAGGAAAGAATCCATTTGTCAAGACCCCTAGACTCCTAGTGTTTCATCAAAGAAAAAAAGTAAAGTCAATAGAAATTCTAGAATCATAAGATCTCAATGAACTTTCAGAGAAGCAAGAACTCTGTTTCTGAAAGATAAAGTCTCTCCCATGAAAAAGAACAGAATTCTAGATGGATCAGTTGAAAAAAAATATTCAGTGGAGCAACTTAAGCTTGCTAAAAGTCAAAGAACTACATATCAAAATACAAAGCAGCAGTTCAAATTACAGCAGGGATGGGCAGGCCACAGAGGCCCTCATCAACCCAGGCAATACTTAAAATAATAAAAATTAAGAAAAATTAAAAAAAAATATGAAGAAAATATCCTTCCTCTCTTTCAAATATAACTTTAATTGCCTTTTTTCTTTCTACCTGGAAGCAGTATTGCTAACCTTAACAGTCTTGACTTACCAAAAAATATATATATGTGTGTGAAATAAAATAAAAGAGAAGGGATTGGTGGCAGTGTATGCAAAACCAAGACGAAGAAAAAAAATTACTTTTAACAATCTCACTTTTTTTGTTTTTTTTTTACACAAATACTGTCGTAAATATATTTAAAAAATCAGCATTCTATCTGGTAAACGTCACTTTTGCCCCTCTATAAAATTTTGAATTAAAAAAGCCTCAAGAACTTTTTATTCTCCCCCCCACCCTCCATTTCTCCTTCTTTTTTCCTTCCACAAGAATATATCCTGACACTTTTTTGTTTGTTTTTTGCAAAGATTGTTGGAAATAATCCTTCTCTTGTACCTAGAAACGTAGGTGCAAACCTCTGATATCTTTGTTTTATCTGCATTCCTGCCTTCATGAAAGTCCCTCTTGATTGTGCTGAGGCTGTGGCTCAGCGAAGACACTGAATAAATACGATAGCCACTGTTGCTTGATGCTTGTCCAAGTCTTCCTGGCTTCTGCTGAGAGGGGGGATATGGAGGAGGTGGGCCAGGGTGTGTGGACCCAAGCAGAATCTGGGAGAGAAGCCTGCCATTGCCTTTCCCACACCTCCGAACCCACTGCCCCTTCCCACCCCCACAGCCCTTTTATGAAATCAGACAATGTGGTAGGTGGAAAACAGTAGGGCCTTTCCTCTGGGTTTTCAACCAGAAGTGATATTCCACAGTTTTGACTGGTTACTGTGAAGTCCAAGCGGCCAGCATTGTGAAAATGTCCACTGAAACACTGCAAGCGGTGTACTTAAAGACAGTAGGCCTTTTAGATTTTGTTATATATTTTTGTAGTGCTCTTCACAAGTGAAAAAAAAAATTTTTTTTTTTTTTTACTTTTTTTTAAAGATTTTTTTGTAAAGAAGGGTTGTATTTAGAGGCCAGTAGCTAGAGATCCAACCAGTGGACCCCTTGAAGCACTACCAGGCCTTAAGGCCACCATCCGAGGGAGGCTGGGAAAACTATTATTCACCCAAGCCTCCGGAAATGTAATGTACCAGCAGGCAAAAAACAGTTCTTCATGTAGTACAAAAAGAAACGAAACGAAAACAAAAACAGAAAGTAAAAACGAAACCGAAACATTTCTTAAATTCTAGTGCCATAGCTTTTTTTGTTTGTTTGTTTCTTTTCTGTTGTTTTCTTTTGTTCATAAGAAAAAGAGAAAGATACTACTTATCCGTCAGACACGTGCATCCTCATATGGTCGTTGAACTGCTCGATTTGGTCAAACTTTGCTGGACAGACGGAGCAGACGTAAGTCGTCCCCTCCGTGCAGGCCACCACGCCTGGGGGGCCGGCGCGGGCACCCGGGGGTGTGCCCGCGGGAGGGGTCCCGTTGCTGGCACTGTGCAGGGCCACGTGTCGCTCCAGGAGGGTCTTGTGGGAGAACTTCTTTTTGCAGATGTAGCACTCGTAGGACTTCTCCCCCCGGTGCAGGCGCATGTGCACGTTCAGAGAGCTCTTCTGGGTGAAGCGCTTGTTGCAGATGCTACACTGGTATGCCCTCACTCCCGTGTGTGTCACCATGTGCTTGATAAGGTAATCCTTTAAGGAGAAGGAGCGCCAACAGATGCTGCATTGGTGGGGCTTCTCACCTGTGGATGCGGAAAGAGACAGCAAGCAGGGCAGAGCGGGGCAGAGCGAGGGAGGGAGAATGAGAGACAGAAAAACAAAACAACAAAAAACAAAAACAAAATTAAAACAATAAAATCTGATTGGTTAATGGATCACCCTTGATTAGAAAGATCCAGTCCTTCCTTGCCTCTCATGTTCTCAGAAATCTTACTTTAAGGCAATGCCAGGATAGTTTAGTTTTCCATTTCCCCGTGCCAGATAATGGCTGTCTTGGAAAGCGACAAGATATTCCCCACTAAAAGTCTTCAAAGCTCATTCTTTGGAGAAAAGGGAGGGTTACTTTAAGGGGGTCATCTTCAGGTCATCATTAGGGGATTTACCTCTGCTTCCCATTAACATTATCAAACGAATATAAGAAATAAGAGAGAGGAAAGATCTTTGGAGACATGAGGTTCTCTAGAATCTTTGGGAACTAAGGATGGAGGTCTCATAGCTTGGCTCTTTGGAGACTCCATTTCCAGCATTCTGTCTAGTAAATGCACTCATGCCTTCATTATAGGTCTGGAAAATATTGGCCAACATAGGAATAAGTCATTCTGAAGAGCTACACTTTCAATTTTATCTGTTTTAGACAGAAATCTTCCTAAAATGTAACTTAAGAGTTAACTGGCTATTCCTTCTTGACTGCAGTGTGCTGCCCTTGGCCTTGTCAAGTGTGGAGGTTGAGTCGGTGGTCAACAACACAGTGATCTCAGAGTCAAGTGGTCCTGGTTGAACCCAGGCACACCACTCTGACAAATCTCCAAATGCCTCTGAGGCACACAGTCCTACTTACCTCACTGGGCTGCTGTTGACATAAAATGCATATGAAATCAGTCTGCAGACCACCAGGAGCGGTGGGAATACATACATGGTATTCTTATTACCCCTCTTCCCCCCTCTCTCCCACTAAACGGTTCCATATGTTTTTTTTGATCTCCTGGGTCAATTTTTAAAACAGTTTTCTCTTTCTTTGCTCTCACTCTGTTGGCTGAAACCCTTCTTTCTCCTCAGTTTACTGCTTTGGTTTGTTGGCTTAGAAACTAAACAATCAAGCTTGTTAAAAACAGCAAGGTAAGTAAGAATATGGTCATTGAATGACCATGTGAGGAATTCTTCTATAAGTAACACCCATGGGCCTGTGACATCTCTTTGGATAAATAGTCAGAGACTTGTTTTTGTTGGTGCTATTTGTTCTCAGCTCTTGACAGGTAAGATGAACCTCATTAAGGTGTCTCCATCTCGCCTAGCCTAAATCCCAAAGCCTTTGAAACTCTCTTGGGTACTATTTCAACATCTGGACTTTGTGTCAGGGTAGGAAATCTATTTCTTAAATCTGAGTTAACTTCCATTTCAAATATGTGCCTTGACTGTGTTTCCACTTTTTCCGTTATGAAACAGAAGAAGTTTGATGTGTCATGGTAATAATGGCAATGAAAACATTCACCACGTATTGAGTGATGACTCTGTGCCAGGCTCAGTGTCCATCCTTTATGTTCATGATCTGTTTCATGAAACTTTACGTCATCAGAAAGCTTTTTCATTGTGTTTGTAAACATAAAAGGATATGTTTTAAAGCACACGTTTGTAAGAAATGGCTGTTTTGTTCAGGAATTACTCCACAAGTTTCTAAATCAATTTCATTGATCTTTGAACTTCTTTTCCTTTAGTTATTCACAAACATTTTGGTCTGGCTCCTTCTCCTCTCAACTCTCCTCTGATTTCCTTTCCCTTCATTCTCACTGACGGGACAGTATAAGCCGTAGGATCATAGGGTTAGAAAAGCAGAATTTCACTTTTAGACTAAACGAGGGGAATTTAGGGAAGCCTCGTTCCTAAATGAAGAGTTCAGTCTATACATGGTACCTTTTGTTGAAATGAGAGATTCCTTAAGAGAGACAGTCATGCGTGTTACTTTTAGTTGGAACATTTCTGTCAGCTGTAAACATGCTTGGAACTCAAGCTGGTCTTTGTTGTCTTCGTGCCTTCAGTACACTTTCTAGAGGCTATGATATGCCAGCCAACTAACTTTTAATACATGGCCATCTGTCACCTTTAATGGGAAGTGTGCCCTCTTAAGTTCCAGATGGTACTTTAGCTGCTAAGGTGAAACTTTGTTTATGTCAAATGCTCTTGCAGTTTGAAACTTTCACCTTCTTATAATGTATTTTTCCTCTAGGCAAGGTCACTGACGAAGGCTTTTTACTCTCACACCCCTCTCATCTGACTATAAATGGGTTCCTCACAGTTGTCATCTTTCCCTCCATGGTATATATATTTACGTTGTTTGTATGCACGTAGTACTGGTCTGGCTGTTAATTATCTGTGTGACCCTGGGCTTCCTAAGTTGTTTTCATCTCTCTGGGTTTGTTTCCTCTGCTGTAAGTGAGGAGCTGGACCAAGCACTTGCCATGGCCCTTTGCAGATTTCATGGCCTTCTGCCACTGTGGCCCACACCCCCTGAACAGTCTCGTCCAGGCCTTGTCCGCTCACGACCCGAGGGCAACTTGCTTAAATTGCTCAATGCATCAGCAGTCCCACATTTTAAATAGGACAAAGTATCCTGTACCCTTCCCTGCCACAGAAAAATGGTGTGATAGTTAATGAGGAAAAATGTTTGCAAAGCACTTGGGAGCTCCCTAAAGGAAAGTGCTCTCTATAATTATTAAGGTGCTGTGCTGACAGAGTATAAGCATTTCAGGAACCGTCTTACTAAATGGGGTGTATTTTCAGATTAGTCGGGTGTCCACAACTTTCATTTCTTTACATGTAGGTTTGAAACAATATCACTCAGCAGAAAGTTAATATTTTTCTCTCCCGTTAATTTCCTTTGTCCTTTGCATATTACTTATAATGATCCTAAAAGGGCTTTCAACGTTATACGTGAAATGGACGTGCTCTGCTGATTGTTGCTCTCCCTGTGGAGAACTGAAGAGTTAAGATGAACGGCAGTGAGTGGCTTTCCTGTCTGAGCCTTTAGCCAGGAATGGCAAGTCTGATTCGTTAGAAAGAGACACAAAGTACAAAGCAGACACTAGAATTAGAACACGAGGGGGAAGCTCATATAAGCCCTTTCACTTTGAAATGATCCATTCTGGGGCTATACGGATGCAGGAGTCAGATAGGAATTCCATTTCCTTGGCTGAGTGATTTGGGCATGCTACTTAACCCCCCTAAGCCTCAGTTTCCTTATCTGTAACTTGAGAATAAGACAGTAAGTACCTGTCTGGTGAGGGTATTTTGAAAATTAAAGCGATAAGGCACTTAGCACAGAGTACGTGATCATTATAAGAAAAAATTCAACTGCTCCCTTCAGGACAAAGGAACTGATGATAAATGAAGCCAACTGAGAAATGACTTGCGTGGCATGAGGAAGCTGAGTCAGGATTGAAAAAAAAATGTTTCAGATAATCAATAAAACAAGTGATTATACTGCAGTTACGTAATTCAGAATTAATTTATAGACAGTCTACTCTCCGTTACATATGTTAATGGAAAAAAGTGGTCCCATGAATAAAATGTCAGCAAATAGCACAGAGAGAAGATTTTCTAACAAATAGCGACTGAGCTCTGGAGGCCGAGAAACCAGACAGAAATCAGACAGAGAAACTGAGGGGGAGGCAAGGTCCTTTACAATTGCAAGGGTGGGAAAGTAGTGAACGCCTAGACTTTTCTCCATTTTTTGATGCCTGCTCTCTATAAAGAGCCACTTTGCAACTCTTTGTGCAGCAGCACTGAAGACAGATACTGTTAAGTTAGTAGATGCAGAGCGTCTGCCCAAAGTTCAAGAAAAAGATGTCCTAATGGGTTGAGCCACCCCAGATCTGAACAGTGACCTCTGTATTGAGGGCTCAACAAGAATCAACTCATTCTGCCGATTCTTTCTCATTCTAACCAGGCTTCTCCTGGGCTGCAGAAAGGACAGTGAATGCTGTTACCAGGACGTTTCTCAGAAGCACTGTTCTCACCTGTCCCTCCCATTCTCTCTGCCTCTCTATCATCTGCTCTAGCACAACAATTTCCTCTTCAGGTGAGGACAGTGAGGTGTCAGAAAACCAAGATTGAGTACTTGGTGAGAGGGCAGGTAGCAGGGAAGGAAGAACGGGTATGGGAAAGCAAAAGTGGCTACTGGTGAGGAAAGCAGAAGAGGTCCTTAAAATTGTAGGTCCTCTGAATGGGGAAAATCAAGATGGGAAACTTTAGTGACGACAATGGAAGTGTGCTCAGATGGAATTACACAGAGCTTTCACTGGCTGCAGAGTTAGCGTACCACGGAGAAGTCTAGTTGAAGGAGGACCTACACGCCGGAGATACGGCTGGTGTGACCACTTGCCCAGCGTTCTGTCCACTTCGTGAGGTGTGATCCGGGTGCCAGCTTGGACTATGAGGCTGTCTAAGGGGGACTGCCCATGGAGGACACACTGCATTCACAAAACATCCGTGGCTTCAGTGACAACTAAAATATTTTGGTGTTAAGCAGAATTTTTAAGATCTCAGGGAACTTCATCCAAATTACCTGACTTTTCTTACAACATTATGAGTGGAGTGGATATTAAAATCCCCAGAAGATGGTATCTCCATTAGAGATGTATACTAACATTCTGAAGGTCACTCAACAAGCCAGTAATTGCTGTGAGTATGACACCAGCCCAGCTAGATTATCTCTTCCCTCTGCTGTTAACAATTTCTTGCTCTCTGGATTATGCTGCAAAATGTATAATGCTGCTACAAAACATAACATATATGTTCCTAAATGGCTTTGATAATCTTATAGTTAAATGGTCTCACATAAATTACTTGACAGAGCAACCATGTAAAGTAAGTATTATTAAGATCTGTATCTTGTGGCAAAACATTGAGGCTCAGATTGATTATAGAACTTACTAAAGTCATTCAGTCAGAAAGTGGTAAAACCAAGGCTTTCTTACTTCAAACCTCGTACTCATTCATTACTCCATTGGCTTGATATAATTAATAGACC